ACTGAACTCAGATGGACATTTCTTCCAACAGTACAAAATAGTAGTAATAATCAAAATACTAGCCCCTAAGTAGATCTTTTGAAAATTTAACAACGTTTAATTACAACATTTTCAGCTATAATTGATCAAAGTTGATCAGTTTTATTAGAATAAGCTTGGCAATTTTTAAAGTGCTGCATACCATCATGAGATTTTAAGCAATGCCATGGGTGTAAAAAAATTATATTTATTCATAGCAGTAGAGAACACTCTAGCTTCAAAAATGGCTTGGAAGAAATGTCTCAGGCCTCCTGAAATTACAGCCTCTCTTTGCTATTCTACAAGAGTAGCTAGCCTGAGGTTTTTCAGGATTGTTTATGAATCTGAGGAAATGAGCTTCATTAAGTTTAAAGAATGGAATCATTAATACAGGGGTTAGGGTTCTAATGGGAAGGCTGAAAAAAAAATGGGTTACTTAAAAACTAGCAGAGAATACTTACACATGGTCTGAAGCACTTCTTCTAAATGTAACCATTCCTTGACAATAAAATCACAAAAGAAGCATCATGAATGATGTCACAATGACAGCTCTGCCGTTTGTTTTCGCATCCCAACATTGCAAGAAAAAATATAAGGGGCAGAGTTTGCATTCCGAAGTCCTATTACCCATTTTGTCACCTGCATATTGGATGCCTGTTTCATTTTGGAAGCCGTATGGCATAATCCTATTCAGCAGACGCAGAAAAAACAATCATACTGTTGTGCAGGTACAGTTCCATGGTATCCACTCTCCAGGACTTCTTGTTAGATCAAGTCATTTAAGTCTTTTAAAAACATAGCTTTTGATCCCCCCATCTTTCAGAAGGAATTCTATCTTTAAATTAGAAATTATTTCTTTATCTCTTGAGCCAGTTCCTCTCAAAATCTCTCTGCATCTTTGTGAGCACTTTCTCTCTCTTTTTTCTTTTGTTCTTTTATTTGAAATTAAGCAGAGTCAGTCTAGGATGTGGCTCAACTGCTTTTTGGATCTTTTGAATTCATCATTGTTTCAACCTCCCTGCTGTATCTAGCTATTTAAGTAGCTATTTGAATAGAGAATTAGATTTGTTCTGAGGCTGGCTCAGAACTGCATTACAGTCTCTCCTAAGTACTGCAAGAATCTGTAGAGAATTATATTGCTTGGGTATCTGCATCCTTTGGGTAATCGTTTCCCTTTCTTCAAATCAATTTTTCTGCCAAATTCTGCTAAACAGCCTCAACAGTCTCCAAAATGGTGTAGTTTCTTAATATCCCTTTTGGGGAACTTGTCCCAAAATTACTCCAATTTTCTTGCTCCTTAGAAGTTCTCCAAGATGATGGACACCTACCTTTCCACAAGAAGTTTTAATTTAATTGTTTAAATGATGTCAGGGAATCTCTTAGTGGTGGATGCTGTTGCAGAAGGCAGATATAGTGACAGAGAAAGCTTGTGTTGTAACAACAATTAGATGCTATTTCTTAATAGATGGGATGTGAAATGTACCCACTCTGCTCAATCTGAGGGGAACAACATAAATAATGGGGGAAAGATGATCCCTCAGATAAATGGACTACAGTATTTATAGTAGGTGGCAACAAACAGGTTGAATTACAACTGAAAATTCATTGCAGCTCGCATAGCAGAAGTTACATGGGCATACCAAAGCACACTCACAACTGCTCACACATCTGCATTTGGACCAGCTGCAGCTGTCAAATGGTCTTTAAGAACAGTCTGCTTTGTATGCAATATTTTACATTTGGGGGAGACTATGGGTGTGTAACTCTGAAAAAATACTTCTAGCCCAGGAAATGATGCAATTGGTGCATCAGACAAATCTGTGCAAAAACCTTTCTGTTTGTAATAGCTGCCACCAACATTTCAAGTAGCAGCAGTCAATCTAGGAAGATTTATGAATTTCATGCCAGTTTTGTCTGGAAAAAATTGATTCTATTCAGAAATAAAAACAGGAAATATCTGGCACCGGAAGAATCATAGCTACTTGGTCTTTTAAGAGGCGAGACAAGACTTATTGCGTCCTATAAAGACTCCAGGCATTAGGATAAGACTTCAGCAGCATCATTTGGTTGACCAAGGGTTGAACTATACAACTATTATTGGCATACTAATGACACCTGATTCTGTGTCATGGGAAGACTTCTCCCTGCAGATTCAGATAGATGTTAAACAGGAATTCTGATAGTGTTGAACACCATGCTGCCTTATAATAAGAGGCTTCAGACTTTATTTCCCCCACTCCCAAACAATGATTGGAGCCAGAAAGAGAAATACCACAGCACTGTGCCTTTGATCTCAGTCCCTTTGTAGTTGATCCAGAAGGATAATATAATCAGTGTTATCAAAAGCTGTTGAGAGATCAAAGACCACCAGCTGGACTGCTCTGTCCAAATTCTGCCACAACTCCAGCTCTGCCATAAGTCATGTGCAGTAAATTCATCTCCATGCTATGGCTTGACTTGAAATTTGACTGAAATGGGTCCAAATAATCTGATTTTCCAAGGTCTATTGGAACTCCAATGATAGATAGATAGATAGATAGATAGATAGATAGATAGATAGATAGATAGATAGATGATAGGCCTAGGCCAGTAGTAGGTTTCAAATCCCATCGCTACCGGTTTGCTCGTGGGCATGCGTGTGCAATGCTTCTACGCATGCGCAGAGACATCTGGGTAGGTGGGTGGAGCCTCCCACCGCCACTGCTACCAGTTCGCCTGATCTGGGGCAAACCAGTAGCAACCTACCACTGGCATAGGTATATACTGTATATTATTTCACTAGCTTTAATTAGATGTATCATCAATGTTTTAGTTTCTTTTTACATATCTTACAAACTATTAAAAGTAGAGTTTTTTTACAACAGTGGGATATAAAACAATAAAGAAATGAAATGTGTCATTCAGTAATCTGAATTCATTGGGAATGATCACTTTTTGATAAAACAAGAGAATATTGTTTAGGAATGAATGGGTGCAGAATGAATGAGGATTGAATAAAGAAGTGAGAGATCAATGCAAAAGAAGTACAATGCAAAAGAAGGTTATTTGGACACTGAAAATGAATGAGGTTCAAATATTTAAAATAAATATAGAAAGACAAAGTAAATGGGTTGGGAGGAAGTGGAAGATCAAGGAAGTTCTGATTAGATAGATTTGATATGAGAATTTTGAATAGTAAAAGGCAGTGTATGACACCAAGTATTGATATGTTGGGTGCAAAGATAGTTCATTCAGATAGGAAAGTGTATTGAATATTGTTGTTGTAAGCCAGATTCTGCTATATTTCTTTTCTTCTTTTTATCTCTTATCTCTATTTCTTTGGTTCAAAGAACAATAATTTCTTTGGTTTATTCCTTTTTTCATTTTGTATATTGTTAAATTATTTAAAAAAGTTACATAGTTAATGTGAACTGTTAATTTCCCAAATTAAACACATTAGAATTTCTTGTATTTCTGTTCTTTCCTTTTTACTTCTATATGCCTTACATATTTCAAGAAAATTGAAGGTAGTGATAATTGGATTAATTCACAAGGAGGCTTCAAATTACAACCAAAGGAGAGGATCATTAAAGAACCTAAGCAGAATTGACAACGAGAAATTTAGTAGATGAGCAACTATACCCGCTGACCTATTTTCAGTTTTCCTTGCTATTGCAGAAAGGGATATGAGATTTGTTTTTTTTAAAAAAAAAAGGGGGGGGGGTTTCAGGAGAACTATGTCTGGCAAGCGCACCATGTCTCCCACTGAAGCCTTATCCATAGAGTCCTTGGAGACTGACTGGGACAAGAAGTTAAAGCCCAGATAGCAAGCATAGAAGTGACTCCTGAGTGTCTAAATCCAGAGGCCAACAGCAATTCTGGGTCAAAAGAAGGCTGAAGGACACAAATGTTCAAGACTGAGGAGAGTGATTGATTCACAAATCACTATGGCTCTTGAGTAGACCATTAGTCTTAATTGGGTCAATGCAGTCCATCTGGTTTAGGGCGTGAGCTTGAAGCCTATGATACAAAAAGTGGTTTGTGGAGATGAACAAGTACTGAAAAAAATTGTCTTGACTTTGTGTAGTCTGATTATCAGCTGCCAGAAAACTTGCCTCATTTCCTATGACTGAGTATTTATACTTAGACCTGGTTTGTATTTGGACCTTATTTTTTCCTAAACTTTCTTGTATGAAGAACTCATCTGCTCACTTTAGGATGTTGATAGGCCTTGTTTCCATTGCACTGCAAACCAATTCTCTTTGATATAAAGGAAACTTGGTAACTCTCGGGGGAAAAAAGGTTAACATTGCTATCATGATAGGTAACTTCCTGTTTTACCCCAAGAAAAACAAATTTTGAAATGTTCTGGAAGAGATAACAAGAGCTGCTTATAGAAATCCATGGAAATTTTCTATTTATTGAAGTATATCAAAAAGAGCAAGGAATAGGTTTCTGTTCTTTCTAAAGGTAAAGGTAAAGGTTTTTCCTGTCCAGTTGTGTGTGACTCTAGGGGTTGGTGCTCATCTCAGTTTCTTAGCCAAGAGAGCCAGAGTTGTCTGAAGATGCTTCCGTGGTCATATGGCTAGCATGATTATATGGTTGGAGCTCACTCTGCTGCACTGTGCTGAGGTCTTTTTTGCTGTTTCAAGTCTTAAATATTGTATAAAACTAAAACAATATTTTATGGATTTCCAAACAAATATAGCAAAAAACCCATTAAATGTTGAAACGAATGAATAAAGTCAAAATAATTTGCAGACCACTGACCTCTAATTATTAGGACTAGTGTCTGACACCCTAGTCCTTAATGTTTCCTCTTTCAGCCCAGCCTCTATTTTCTAACTACAGCATTATCATGAAGAAAAGGTTCAGCATAACAAATATTGTCATCAGCTTGATTTCTGTTCGCTCAGATTAAACTGAAACTAGTTTCAGATTCTGATTCATTGAAACAAACTGAGACAGGAAAAGGACTATCATTTCAGCGAAATAAGCAAGAACTGAACTGGGGAAATCCAACGCTTCAGACAGATCACACCTTTCACGATGACATATAAATTCCATATTTCTACATGTGGAATTTAAACCAAGAACAGTAATTTTTAACAAAAACAGTGATCTTTTCTACTACTGAGAACCTAAAAAGAGAGAGAAGCACCATCTTTTTTTCCAGTATAAAACTTTGCTCCTCTTTTTTTTTTTTTTTGCTTTTAATTTATATGCCATCCTTCTCCGGAGACGCAGGGCGGCTTACAATGCATTAAGCAATAGCCTTCATACTTTTGTATATTTATACAAAGTCAGTTTATTGCCCCCACAATCTGGGTCCTCATTTCACCTACCTTTGAAAGGATGGAAGGCTGAGTCAACCTTGAGCCTGGTGAGATTTGAACTTGCAGTAATTGCAAGCAGCAGATGTTAATAACAGTGTTTTACTCCACTGTACTACAGGCTCCTTGACAATACAAAACATTAATTTCAGCATCTAGGTTCGTGAATATGAAAATAGGCATTGTGGCTTTCTGCCTTTTGTGTTGCTGCTTTGAAGCTTTGCATGGTAAGTGATACTGCAGATTCTGTTGACAGAAATTTCCTTTGGTTGTGATTTTATTGAGTTTAAAGACTGTATAAGAAATGTTTAGAAGCAGTGACCCTGAAGCTACGGCAAAGAACAGGCATTTGTACTATGAAAAATTGAATCATTCTCTAGCTATAGGACCATATTTAACGGTTGATATTTCTTGTGTGCCATTATTTAGTTTACTAAAACTGTATCCACTAGTATATAGTATAGTAATGTCTTTGAACAGAGTTATAATAATCATTTTAACTTTATTATAAAAATTATACTATAAACAACTCCAGAAAATGATTGCCAAAATTGTCAGGTGTATTTTAACAAGACACAAACTTTTCTCAGTTGGAATTCCTTGTCTATGGAAGGCCTATGTCCAGTACAAGATTTCTAGTATATTGTTTACTTGGTTTTTAAGCTGCTCACTATTTTCTGTTTCCAACATTGTGCTTATATCATATAAAGTTGGTTTATATTACTTTATATCTATTTTTCACTCCCGGATCATTCTGAAGTATTCTAGTTACATGTGTGAAGGACCAACATCACACCATTTTACATAGAATATCTAATTCAAAATCTCATTGAATTCACTGAGACTTACCCCCAGGTGAATATATTTTGGAGTACTGCTTTAATTTACTTAGATTATATTTTAATAATGATGGCTGTCCAAGAAATACACCCTTTGTATTATCTCATGGTGCTTCAAAACAATCAGTGTGGAAGTCAGGAGTTGGCACTGTATGATGTGCTGCATGTGAATAGAATGATGTTGCCTTCTGACCTACATGATAGACTCTAATTTTGCTTCATGGAATACCACCATTTATCCCCCCAAATAGAGTGATGAAGGATCATTGAAGGTTGACCAGCTGTATAACTGTGGCAACCTATTGGCATGATTTACTTTATACCATTAAATAACATAAATAACATAGGAACATAGGTGAGAAAATAAGCAGACCAATCATTGTTTGTACAGAAATTAGAACCAAGCAAAGAAAGGAGATGAGGACATCTTGTCACCTAACTATAAAGGAAGCATTTAGCACCTCTTTTCTCACCTCCAAACCTTGCATATGAAAGAAATGCCTCCACTAATTCATGTTTATTTGCAGCAAGCTGGTAGTCTCCGAAGGAGGTTGTGCAAGAGCGCATCATGCTTTTTTAGATGTGGTGAAATTGCACTTCTCAGAATTCCCAATTTGCATAGCCATATACTGACTTGGAATGCTGGGGGTTGCAGTTCACACAGAATGGGAGAATGACCCCTGTGGGCAGGCTCATGAAGTGGCCTTAGGATTGTGATAGTTCTGCTACTTCACTTAGGTTCATTTCTGTGAAGTCTTAGAAATTAATAAGAAACCACATCTTTATTTATTATATTATTTCTATATTACTATTAGCATTTTAGATTTTTTTGTATTATACTTTAAATTATTCACTCTTGGAAATTGCTGAATAGATTGAGTCATTCCATTTATACACAATATTTTTATGTGCAAACCCCTTTGAGGGGTCAAGCATCGTTTCACTGTGGTAGGCACCTTTTTTCGGTCACTGATTCATTTCTATAACAGTGGCAATAATTATAAAAATAATTAATTGGAACCAATGCTTAAGGTTTTGTAATTTCTTTGGGATTTCTTTGGGAAACACAAAATGGCCTTTTATCATTCACTTATGCTTTAGCATTATAGTTATGAATCCAATAGATCCAATATTCTGCTTTTAATCAAATCTATTAAAAGATAAGGGTAAGATAGCTGAGGTAAGTAAGAGAAAAAAAAATAGTATGAAAGAGTTAAGATTCATGTATCAGCTGAATAGTGGCTAGAGTAGGGGTGAAATCCAGCAGGTTCTGACAGGTTCTGGAGAACTGGTAGCGGAAATTTTGAGCAGTTCGGAGAACTGGCAAATACCACCTCTGGCTGGCCCCAGAGTGGGATGGGAATGGAGATTTTGCAGTATCCTTCCCCTGGAATGGGGTGGGAATGGAGATTTTGCAGTATCCTTTCCCTGCCATGCTCACCAAGACACACCATGCCCAGCAAGTCACACCCACAGAACCTGTAGTAAAAAAATTTGGATTTCACCACTGGGCTAGAATATCCAATTTCAGCAGTTATTGCTTTCTAATCTTGCTGTAGTCAAGTTATTCCCATTTGCTCTTGAGTTGTACCCTGGTACTTTCTCTATGTTACCTACAACTTCCTTGCATTCCTAAACTTTGAGAGGGAAATTGGGATAACTGTGTTCATTTCCATGCCTCTTTCATTTGGCCTTGCTAGTTTCACCAAGGTTTTCTCCATAGCAGAAGTCTATATTACATTCTGGGTATAACTCTAGGTACATATTGTAGGACTCGATTTATACAAGCAGAATATACTACAGGTAAACTTTTTTACCTGCAGTATAAAAGACTTTTAAAAAATTCTCTTACTGCAGCTCCTTCATTGGCAACATGCCTTGCATGCATTTGTGCTTTTAGGTCATCATTCCTAACCACAACAATGCCACAATGATAATATCATGACACATAACCCACTCTTTTATACTTGCATTGCAGTATCTTGCAATGTTACCAGAGGTGGGTTGCTGCCGGTTTGGACCGGTTCACCTGTACCGATAGTTCCGACCACCGGCTGGGCCTGCCCACTTGCCCCGGTACTATCCCGTCCTATATATCTCACTCTCTGGCTCGCCCGCCCCGCCCACGCAGCCCAGCTGATTTCCGCGCCTTGCCTGCTCTATTCACCGTGGCTGCCAGAGAAGGTGTACTGGAAGCTGCACACATGAAATTGCTGTGTGTTTGAAGCCTCACGCAAGCATGAAGGTGCATATGTACACACTCACATTTTCGGTTCTGCACTAGGCGAACCAGTTGTTAAATTGTTTGAAGCCCATTCTGGACGTTGCATGCCCTTTCTTGACTTCTCTGCACAATGTGTTTTAATTCTGATCATAATATACACATCCTTGGCTGCAATCAAAACTTTGCAAATATTATTTACATTCACAACCTTAACAGAATTTATAACATAAATAATGTTCAAAGAATTCATAATATGCAAAATTATAGGGGTACTTTGCAATGATTGATAATTTACTTAAACTAATGTATTGTTAATTTCTACTATGCAATTCAAATGTTTATGTACATTGGTTTTTTTAATCTTAAAAATGATTAAGTGGTATTGATATATTATTTTTAGGTGTTGACCAGTGTCCATCCATTTCATCCTGCACTACATCTTGCACAGGTATGACTTATTATATTTTAATGATATTAATTAAGGACATTATATCCAAATGAGTGTGACAAGCAAGAATTAACAACTGAGATCTGCGATTCCACATATATATAAGTGCTATATGAGTCAATATGATTTAAACTCTATGTCCAAGGGACTGAAACATCAAACTTAATCCAGTATATGGTTAGCTGCTATTGAGTTGTGATTAATGTTTCAGGTCTGTTAATAAATGAACATCATAAAAATATTTCTCTTGGTGTCTTGAGATAACATATCATTTCACCTGTCTTTTTCACCAGCCCTAGGAGAAGTTGATTTGTGATCTGCTTTTGATATTGATTTTGACTAGTCTATGTTTCGAGGGTTGTGTAACATCTGTGTTGTCTCCCTGAAATGGATGGGAGGTTTTTTAGTTTCTCTAAAATCATTATTTTGCTGCTGTTTAATTTTGAATTTACTATATTGTTCTATGCCACCTAATGTTTCAGTACCTGAGGCAGCTCGTTCATTATTTTTAAAAGAAATATAATGAAAAGTAACAAATTGCTTACCTGTATTGGTATTTTAATGGGCCCTGTTCATGTAATGGCTTTTTTTTCGCTGTTACTTGCTTAAATATTGTGATGTCATGGATTTGCAAGGCTATCTTGGACAAGTCAGCTGCAGGCTTGTGAAAACTAATCGCAAATGCTGGAATTCTAAAGAAAACATATCAACTTATTTTTGAAGAAGATCAAAAGCACAAAAACTATCAGCAAACTGGGATAAAATCTGACAATCAGTTCGGCCATTTTGGAGACATAGAAAAATGTTTGCAAAACAAGGATCCTGTATTGGCTTGAATGAGCTCACACAAATTAATGCAATTGATCGCATCAATTATAAGATGTTTATACTACATCATTATATAGATAATATAGATAATAATGGGATTAAATAATATATGTGATAGGATATTTAGAAAAAGCCTTAGTCCATTTCTTTCTTTTACCTTATGTTTTTCCTCTACATATTTCTTTGTTAACAAAGCAGACAACTGCTAACTTCCCATGGCAATGTTTACTTTTGCTTGTTAACCGTTTCTTTCTTTCTACAGAGACTATCACCAACCATTCTCAGCGCAAAGATGAATTTCCAAGAGAAAATTTTACATTGAATTGTCCTTTGCCCAGGAATGTGAAAGGTTTCTATATGAAGCTGTATAAGGGCCGGAGCAATCAAGAAGTCTGTTCTCTTTATGTAGACAATGGTAAAAACAACTCTGAAAGAACAAATGAATCCTGTGAACCAATCCATTCAGATGACAAGGTATCATTCACTCTCAGAAATTTAAAAAGCAAGCATAGTGATACTTATATCTGTTGCCTAGAAGTTCTTACTCCAGTCTATCGTTGTTGCAAATCGAATGAAAAGCATCTCTATGTTCAAGGTAAGTTATCATTGTTTTTGAGAACACAATTAAATAAATCTAACAAAGTATGATTTGGCAGAACAATTCCTTTTGTCAAATAATTCTTACTTGTCAGACTGTTTCACCTTATTTTAGAGAAAGCATTTTTCTTCTTTCATCTCCTTTGGAAGGAAGGTACACTGAATTCTGGGGAAATGCCAGCAGCTCTTCTCAACTGGCAACAATAGCCTTTCTAAAAAGAGGCACGTAATATAAATGTGTAAAGGAATAATACTCATGACATCATCATTTAGGAGAAGTCTAACTTCCACCAATCCCATTAGGTCCATGTATTGAGAGCCGTTGCTTCATCATTATTCCACACATGCCCTCACTTCCACCCAAATAAAATTGAAAGCAGTTTTTAGTGTCTCAGGACTGCTAGTGATTGAACAGTAATAAGATAGAAAACACAGCTGGAGCATAGTGCTCAAGGAGCAGAGTTCTTTTTCTCTCGCTCTAAGGTCTTCACAAATACATATGTATCCATTGATGACCTGCATATTTAAATATATACCCACAATTATAGATTCATAGATTCTCCCATCCACCAATATTTTGATATACAATGTTTTAACACAGAAGTCATTTACCATGCTCACTGGTAGTCCCTATGGGAAGGTAATCAAGGGCTTGATCCTCACCAGGCCAGATTCTACTCCTGGATTAACAGAACGGCTGGCTAGACTTTCCTTGCAGCTAATGGATTCTGCTTCTATTCTAGTTATTTTCTGATGGCCATATTTGAAACTGATTTTTTTTCAAAAAATTGAAAGATGGTAAACGTAATTTTAATTGCAGTTTTATTGCATTGTAATAGAACTAAGGGATGTGGTGGCTCAGTGGCTAAGAAGCTGAGCTTGTCGATCAAAAGGTTGGCAGTTCAGTGGTTCGAATCCCTAGTATCGTGTAACGGGGTGAGCTCCCGTTACTTGTCCCAGCTTCTGCCAATTTAGCAGTTCGAAAGCACATAAAAAATGCAAGTAGAAAAATAGGAACCACCTTTGGTGGGAAGGTAACAGTGTTCCATGCGCCTTTGGCATTTAGTCATGTCGGCCACATGACCATGGAGACATCTTTGGACAGTGCTGGCTCTTTGGCTTTGCAACGGAGATGAGCACCGCTCCCTAGAGTCAGGAACAACTAGCACATATGTGCAAGGGGAACCTTTACTTTTACCTAATAAAAGTATGTTATTATTATTATAAGATTATAGCTACCAGATGGCTGTAAAGTAGCATATAAATGGAAGGTATGGAATCAGAGATAGGTTTCAGCAGGTTCTGACCAGTTCTCAAGAACCAGTAGCGGAAATTTTGAGTAGTCCGGAGAACCGGTAGTAAAAATTCTGACTGGCCCTGCCCCCATCTATTCTCTGCCTCCCAAGTCCCAGCTGATCGGAAGAAAATGGGGATTTTGCAGTAACCTTCCCCTGGAGTGGGGAGGGAATGGAGATTTTACAGTATCCTTCCCCTGGAGTGGGGTGGGAATGGAGATTTTACAGTATCCTTCCCCTGCCACATCCACCAAGCCACGCCCGCCACGCCATGCCCACCAAGCCACACCCACAGAACCAGTAGTAAAAAAATTTGAAACTCACCACTGTATGGAATGCCTTCTTTGAGGAGTGCCACATGCCACAGAGTATTTATAGATCATACTCCTTATCTAAAAAAAACACCCTCTTATTTTTTTAAATGGAATTTTTCCCATTAAAAATAAAAAGCTTGTTTCTTATAGATATATAATTATAAAGATATTCATCTTATAGAGAATGTTTCTACACATTAAGCAATATAGAAAAAGATAAAAGAGCTATTTTATGTATTTATTTTATCAAGTCCAGGTCTGAAAACCTTTACAGATCTATAAGATGTGTATGGAGCAGGGAAATTTCATCCTTTGTATCTTTTTCTGTCATTAAAATTCTTTCTAGGAAAGACCGCTATTGATAAAGTTCTTATTTTTGGATGAGGATAATGATTTCTATTGGAGATAAATTGGAAGACTTTCCTGAAGCCATGGAACCCAAAGGAAAATGAAAGATTGCTGACAGAGAGTGTAAAGTGCTGCATGTGAATCTCTAAAGAGACACTTAACTAACCACTTTAAAAAAAAAAAAAGTCAAGTTATGCACACCTAAATCTAGATTAAATGGTATCATGGTAATCATTTTGGTCCAGGTATTGAATGATCAACTCAGCCAGTTAAGGGGAGCAGCCTTGTTTTGGACAAGGAACAAAGTGAGCCAGGCAAATCCCTCCTCAACCATGAAAGATCTTTGGTGATTTGGGACCAGTCACACTCTCAGCCAGGATTATTGACAGGTCACTTCTAAGGAGGGGATTCTATATATTCTGAGCTGCTCAACAAAAAGCAGGAAAGATATCCAATAAGAAAGAAATCCAATCCAAAATACACTGCTGAAGATGGAAGAGTAGCAGACCAGTGATGCTTCTAGTCAAACTTCATTTCTGAGTCACAAGAATAGGATGGTTGGCAGCTTGGTTAATTTCTCTTGGCTTCATCCCTACCCTTTCCCTGTGTCTATAATCATATGTCAAGAGGTATTTATGGACACTGCTGATCACCAGCCAGTTCAAAAAGAAAATTGGCCAAGTTTTTGGGCTATACTACACAATTCACAATGGTGGCTATTAGTCCCAAGTCTTAATTATAAACACCAATTTGATTCTTTCCCAGATTCAGAAAAATCTTGCTGGCTATCGGAACTTACATCATGGATACTTATTGGGCTCGTAGTTTTTTTATTTGTTGCCTGCATCTTTTCTTCAATATGGTGTTTTAGAAGTGTGGTAAGTGATTTCCACAGCCTTCTTCAAGTCCAGTTTCTGCCAAAGATATAGTAACAGAGTTTCCATTTTGTGAGATTCAGAGGCATACAGTGTCAGCATGTGGACTGGAAATCACTTTGATGAATAAATCTAAGCATTTATTTACTATTGGAATTCAGTCACAAGTGATAGCAGTTTACTTTTAATTTGCATAAGATGGAGCTGTTTATTGATTTAGTGGCCTGAAGTTTTAGAACTAGGGCGAAGGGAGAAAGAATGCTGTGAACATCAGCAAAAATATCCAAGAAAGCAATTCCTCTGATTGCTGGCTGCAAAAGAATTGATAAATAATAGTGGGTGCAGCCAAGCTCTGAAGTCACTTGGAAAGCATCCAGCAGAAAGTGAACAGGGGTGATAATCCTTTTATTTTTATTTTTTACCCTGAATTTGCCATTATTTCACTTTTTCATAGTTTTGGTCATTTCAAAAGAAAAGAAAAAGATCATTCATCAAAATTATTAATCAGAATCCACACCATCTCCTTTTTGTTCCCAGGCTTGCCAATGTGCCAAGAGTTATGACAACAACACTGAATACATGTCCATGGCAGCAGTAAAACCTAGATGAAAATGCAGTATCCAGAAATAATACGTAAAGTGGGTTCCATGAAGCAGTGGGGTCAAAGCTGACCTTGGACTTAATTTACTTTCAAGGGGTTGGTTTCTTTCCTTGCTTATCTCTTCTTCCTGAACAGCCAGCTTTGGCTTCATCAGAAAAGCTTCTAAAGCAAGAAACTACTTTGAATGATTGCAGAGGAGCAACCCAGCACAAGGCCTCCATGCTATCAGGATTCTTCTCCACGTGTTAATTTTGCATTCCTCCTTAATGCCGGTTAGGACTGTCTTGTCCCACTGTTATTTCTGTTATGAATCAAAGACTCAAGGATTAATGGAAATCTGGAATATTATATCGGGACAATGCTTTTTTAAAAAATTAAAATAATTTTATAACATTCAGAGTTTGGGTTTTCTGTATGAATTCCTCGATAAGCCAGGAAGCATAAAATGTGAGAAATGTCCACCCTTTTCCAATGCTGAGTTTTGGCCTCAAACTTTTCTGCGGACACTGGGCTGGAAGAAAGTAGAACAGGTTACTGTTGTGTTCATCTTAGCTTTTCTTTATAAATTAAACACCTGAAATATATTTTTCAGTCATGAATGGTTGTAACTTCATTAAAATTGAAATATTGCTTTTAGTCAGATTTTTTTATTTCTTTGATTTTGCTTTAACCAACAACTAAGAGAACCTGCTTCAATGAAGTACGCAATAGAATAGCTGCAATAGTTTTCAGTGCATACATGAATGAATAAAATGCATTTGTTGCCTACATTTTTGCAAATAATTAAAAAATGAATATGAATTTCCCTTTTCAGCCTGTTAACCAGCAGTAGAGTTATTTTTTATTATGCAGCTTCATGAAAACTAATAAACTTAGTTGTAGTAGATAACTTGCATTCAATGAAGAAAAGTTTGGGGCCAAACTTGAGGATGGAATCCCTGTGCAAGTTTTTTATCTTGTGATGGTCCAATCTGTAACTCAGATAGTAGAAATTTGGCAAATTTCTTTCTAACCTTTTTTTCTCTTCTCTATACTTTAATTATTTTTATTCAACATATTTCATCATTTTATATCACATTTACAATTTTTTCAGCGTTTCAGCATCGCTAATACTCATATATACATAACATACATAACATTCCTTAGTCTTCCTTTAACTATATGCATTATCTTTAAATTTTAGTATTTCTTTCAAGCTATCTTCATATTTAATCTTTACATCTGTTCTCTAGCCATTTGTACTACATTTCCCAGACTAAATAATATTTTGTTTCCCCTCTTTCTTTTAATTTCAATGTTAACCTGTCCATCTCAGTGCAATCTAACACCTTTTTAATCACCATTCTCTCAGAGGTCCTGTTTCTAGCTTTGTGCATATGAAATTCTGGCCGCTGTGTTACATGTAATATGATATATTGAATTTTCTTACTATGGTTTCCTCTTATTATCCCTAATAGGAATAATTCTGGTTTTAACTCAATTTGTTGATTCATAATTTCTTCTAACCATTTTCTTCTTCTAATCCAATATTTCCTGGCTTCTGAACATGACCACCATATATGGTATATGTTACCTTGATTATGTTTACACTTCCAGCATTCCACAGATAGATTTGGAAACATTTTGACCAGTCTAGCCGGAGGTAAATGCCAACGGTAAAATATTTTATATAGGTTTTCTTTATAGGCTGCCGACAATGTTAGTTTATAGTTTTTTCCCCACAATTCTTTGCCCAGGCTATCATGGTTTCTTTGACAGTTTCTTCCTCCATCTTAAGTCTCAGTAAATAGTTATATGTTTTGGATATCATTTTTTCCTCCGTCCCCTGTATTATTTTATCAAGCTCTTGTTGCTCCTTGTAGAAACCATATTCTTCTAAATCTTTTTTGTATCTTGCCTGAATTTGTATCTTTCTAACTTTTTGTATTATGAGAAAAATGACAGACAAAACCTGGGTACACAACAAAAGTTTATATTAAAGCATATGACAGACCAGTTCACCAATTCATTGTTTGTTTATCTGATATTATAAGTTATATATTACCTTGCTATAACCTGTATTGGAAGTTTGAAATTAACTTCCAATAGTATGAAATATAAACTAATAAATGGTATTGAGAGTCAGTTTGATCTATGTGTTGAAGGTCCTGGAATAAAAACTGGGAGACTATGAGTTCTAATCCCATTTTAGGTATAAAGCCAGCTGGGTGACCTTGGTCCAGACACTTTGTCTCAGCCCTAAGAAGGAGGCAACAACAAACCAATTCTGAAATCTTGCCAAGAAAACTGCAGGGACTTGTCCAGGCAGTTTTCAGAAGTTCAGACTGAGTCAGAGGCAAACAAACAAACAAAGAAATAAATAGTATTGTATCATATATTTAAAAAGCAGAGATGCAGCTCTCCAATAAAGTTATGAAAAAAAACTTCGTCTAAAGGAATTGTGGTTAAGATTTTACTTCTGTATATAGATTTCCTGGCTGATTCTACCCTGCTGCGCTTTTTTAAGCTGGTGAGACTATAGTTGTAGGAGAACTAGCAAGAGAAGCAAAATGTATTAACAGGGTTGTGGTTTTAAAAATAAACTAACTGCATGGCAGTTGCAATTCCTTCAGAATTTTTTAAAAGCACAGTATTTGACAGTGATCATATGCAATCAATTTTTTCAAAATTCCCTCCCTGTACTGTTGAATCCTTTTTCTCTTATCTAAATAGAGAAAAAACTAAAAAGGAAAAAGAAATTTAATAATTTACTGCCCACTAATCCTTTTCCTCCTGAGAACTGAAGAAATTAATCCTTGGCTGCCCCAGTTACTCTGCATCCTCCTGTTTCTTTATTCCCACTGCTCTGCCTTGCCCATCGTCCTCTGGGGGGATTTAAAAGAAATGCTGTGTCTCCAAGTGCAGGCAATGGCTGCTTCGGTGGATGATCTTCCCAGAAAGCTAAAACATCTCATATTTGAAATACACTTTACATGGCGATATATTGGAGCTGAAGAATAATGAGAAAACAAACGAACAAGGGAAAATGATGTATTAAGAGAAAACAGTGGCAGAATAACAAGCTGAAGCGTTGTAGCCTATTGGCTGCCGGCCCCTCTGGCAGCTGAATCAGATAAGGAGGCGGCGTAAGAGTCAGGGCCGGCATCAAGGCATTCTGAGAGTTCTGAGGGGCCAGCTTGGCTGGGTGGGCGTGGCCAACTTGATTGGTCTCACCCTTAGGAAATTTCTCCTTAGTCCAACTCACAATAAAATAGCACAATAAAATAGCACCGTTTCAATATTTAGAATAGAATAGAATAGAATAACAGAGTTGGAAGGGACCTTGGAGGTCTTCTAGTCCAACCCCCTGCTTAGGCAGAAAACCCTACACCACTTCAGACAAATGGTTATCCAATCTCTTCTTAAAAACTTCTGGTGTTGGAGCATTTACAACTTTTGGAGACAAGTTGTTCCATTGATTAATTGTTTTGTCAGGAAATTTGAGGGGCTCCTACAAAAATGAGTGGATCAATCTATTTTCCAAAGCACCAAAAGGCATGACAAGAAACAATGGATGGAAGCTAACCAAAGAGAGAAGCAACCTAGGACTAAGAAGAAATTTCCTAAGAGTGAGACCAATCAACCAATGGAATAGTTTGCCTTCAGAAGTTGTGGATGCTCCATCACACACAAGCAACACAGTGACAAGTCAATTTGAAATCTTTACAGTCTAATACTGTAAGCTAACTCTTAAATGCTGAAAATGCGGGATCAAAATACATAAACATTGAAACAGCATTGCAACCCTATTCCAAATTAATAAAATCAGTTCTGCTAATTAGAACGTATATTTAAAAAGACATAGGAACTCTGGCAAGGAACTCCTGTTTTTTTAAAAAAACATTTTCAAAACTCCTTCCCTGGCCTAATCCAGTCAAGAACAAGGAGAGATTCAACCTAAAAATAAGGAGGAACAATCAACCAATGGAACAACTTGCCTTTGGAAATTGTGGGAGCTTCATCAGTGGAGGCTTTCATGAAGAGGTTGGACTGCCATTTGCTTGGGTGGGGGGTTGGACTAGATGACCTATAAGGTCCCTTCCAACTCTGTTAATCTGTATGATCTGTACATTTCTATTGTTTCTGTGCTGACTGCATTCCTGCAGTTTTGTTATTGTAACTAAGTATTCACCTGTTAAATGGTTCTTGGCTGTCTGCTCGGAGCTATTAACTCAAGGGAGAGAGAAGAAAAAAACCTCTTTCACTTTATCCCCCCCCCAAGTTTTAAAGGGGCTAGAATTTTTCTGCTGAGGAAATGGCTATGTGGTTATTTCATTTTTTTCTTTTCCCTTCCTTTGGTTAATTACAAACGAGCAGGAACATCTGAGGTGT